AACTAGGATGTAGTTAGGCAATTAAATATTCATGTATGTGTAAATTTATTACCATAATTGCAGGTGAGTCACATAAATTTGTTTTTATAAAACATGTAGCCCCCCCACCCCAAGACCAATTTCCTAGTGGAAACACTGGGTTTACATGCAAAGTCAATGGTGGACGCACATCTAGGGGTGTCTAGAAGCCGAGCAGTGCGTCTGGTGCATTTGGAGCAGTGCGGTTCGAAGCGGTGCACACGTCATAAGCATTTTCAGTGCGTGCGGCGCGTCCCAAGCATCCGACGCATGAGTTGGAAAATCTGAACTTTTGCTGCTCGACGCGTCACATCAACCACCTGAGACTCTGCTCAGTGACGTACTGGTGATGAGCCGGAAATACAGGAAGCCCGGGAAATCGGATCACACAAACAATGGAGGAAAAACTGATAGTCCAATCATTTATGATCATTCCAGTGTCCRTTATCWTGATAGAAATGGAMGATTAGTGAGGAARTCRGCATGTTTGGTAAGTYATCGAAACTACGGTTAAAAAGGCTCCTCCTCTCGAGCAACTAAAGAAGCGCGTCTACGTTCAACATCAAATGCGTCTGTCCTCACTGGACACCAGCATCAAGATGCGTGCGTTTTGAGATTTTTGGAGGCGYGCAACGCATTTGGTGTAAACGTAGCGTTATGGAGCCTAAACAGCGACWGCTTACACTGACATTGAAAATCTGTTGTGGCGTCTGAGAACGTTGACCCCTGACTCACCTACAATGGGCCCAACAACCACTCCATGTTTCAGCAGCTCGTCCCGTAGCCCCTCGTCAGTCAGTGCGGTCACATCTGGCTCTTTCATCTCAATCTTCTCTGAATTCCTGCTGGATTTCTGCGGGAACAACAGAACTTTGTTAGAAACTCAMAACCAGACTTAAAACCAAGTTTTGAGGGACAAGGTCTTTAATAGTGTTACCCCATAGTCTGAGCCTTTAGGTTTTTCCTCAAGCCTTTAAAGCCTCTAACACAAGAGTGGGCATTTATTTTTCTCTGGGGGCCACATGAGAAATTTGAGCGATGTTGGAGGGCCGAAATAAACAATACGTTGTACTTAATTCTGCTTAATAGTCATTTTTATACCCATTGTTAAGAACAGTAAATTAAATATTTTGATTAGCTGCTTCTGCTATAGGACAAGGATGTTGTAAATATTTATATAAATATGTGAAATTGTGATGTAGGAGATAAAGGAAAATATTCCTTTGCAAACAAAACAAAAACCAATCATATGATTCGTTTTTGTGATGCAAAGAATAGCAGAAAGGTGATCAGTGACAGGATCTGTACCTGGATCTGTTGACTTCATCACTGAGAATGTCTGTTTAAATATGTAGGTAAATCCAAACAGGACTGATCTAAGAGCTGCTTTGATGCATTTTTTAAGTTTTAAAAAAATTGGTAGGCCGGACAGAAGTCACTCATGGGCCACATACAGCCCGCGGRCCACCAGTTGCCCACCCCTGCTCTAACATGTTTCAGCTCCATCTTATCAACTCTGGGAAGCATCCCCACAGTGTGTTTGTTTTGGTCATTGGCTGCCCTGAAAGAATGTCCTCCACTGTAAGAAARTATCAGCTGACCCTCAGTTCTAGAGACATTTTTGGCACTGATTTCACCAAACAGAGTCATGAGGTTTTGAGGGGTTTGCGAGACAGTTTTCAACTCGATAAGACATGTCGTGAGGTTTTAATCTCGTTACACACCCCTAAGCGTCATGGCAGTAATTATAATATTGAAACTGCATGTTTTTCCTGATGCCGTGCCGCTCCAGAGGACACAGACCAAGACATTATGGCAGGATTAGAYCCTTCGAGTTTGGAATTCTTCAGAAGGAAAATGGAGAATATTTTGACCAGGACTGATGGATTCAACAGGAAATAATAAAGTTTAATAACRTGGGCGTTTCTGCACATCTCCATTCTGCTGGTTTTAATATGTACATCTGTGAACCTGCAGAAGAAGCAGAACAAGCTCAAACTGGGGTCTAAAACGTGTTTTGATATGAAGCAGGCCGACCCACAGAGGGAGGAGCAGCATTGAGTCCGCAGCCTTCCACTCATAGTAAACAACTGTGAACTGAACCAGCCTGCAGGAAATTACAACTTGTTTCAATCCAGGAGACTGGAATGAAGTCCTGCTCCTCCTCCTCAGCTTAGAGCCAAACTGACTCAGAATCTGCTCCAGCAGAACTCAAACCACTCAATGGTTTGCTCTGAGCGCGCCATCTGATATCACWATGTGTCTGCTCATAAACACGTGGTTTCCTTCTGACTTCAGATTTTCAGAGTTCTACTTTAGTTCAGTCTGCACACATCAGAACCACCACAGTGCAGTCAGCACCACTGTTCACATCTCCACGCTGTCCCCCCCTTTTTAAATTAACCTTTTTATTGAGAAAGCACTGTATTTTACAATGGCGTGGTTATCAATGCACACTATTGTGATTCGTTTCCCATCCAAGTTATCTCCACTTTGGCRCACTTCTCCTCCTGCATACTTTGTCCTAGAGCTGCCATTCTAATTTATATCTGTAAAGCTCCTGTGCCAAATGATGGCTATGCCTTTTGGTGCCTGTACAACTTATAGTTTTGAAATATTAATGTTTAATAATTTATAATGGGAGTCCATAGAGCCTTGCATTGGTCCAATACTGCCCCCTGCTGTATCTACTCAGTACTGAACCATAGTTTAATGATATTTGATCTCAATAGTTCAGTGGTTACAATACTAATATGATTGTATTTTGATGTTTTACTAAAATGTCTTAATACTGCTCTATTGTTGTAATATTATCCAGTTTAGTGTCAATAATAGTATTGGCAATGTGGCCTCTTTCTGCACACATACAAACCAACCACTGGCACCACCCTTGGTCACAGCTCCAATGGTCTAATCCTCAATGCGATGGACTTTCATGTGGGAGAACAGGGTTCAAAACCCAGCTAAAGCAACTTTAACAGAAAATCTCTACAAACTTCATATTGTCACACAATTACCCTTATTACAAACACCTGCTGACTTGAAAAGCACAAGCTGGTGTAAAAAACACATTTGAACTTGGTCACAGTTCATTCTGCAAGTCCATTGCTGCAGGCAAAGCCATGCTGCAGTGATGTGCTACATGGCAATGTACACTTGTTTTTACATCGTGAAAACCCATGTCTAGTATTACATTGCTTTTGCTTTCAAGAACAACACAAAACAAAGAACAGAAGAAAAGAAAAAAAAAGGAACAAAAAAATATACACATGGGTGAGGGTGGCAGGGTACCCAGAATACAATCCAGTCATTTACATCATTTTTCAGATCACTGCATCAATCACTGGATAACAGCAAGATTTACAAAAAATCTGACCTAACCGGTTTGACATAATTCGTCCACTTTGACCATATTTTGTAAAACAGGGTTCCCACACCTTGGTCAACATCAAATTCAAGGACCTTTTAAGGACTTTCCAGTACCAATTTCCTCAAATTCATGCACCACGCGCAACGGCAATACTGCTACCGCAGAATGTTACCAATAAACAGGTTTAATATCATATAAATTCAATGAAAAACTGAACAACAGAAGTTGTTGAGTCAGAATCAATGAAAGAAAGTGGATTAAATGTACACTCTACATTCATATCCACAATAAATAATTATGTCCTGGGGAGGTTCAGCAGCTCACTTTGGGAGGAGGGGATGTGAACAGGTCCAGACCCTCGGTGAGGACAGGAGGAGCTGTGGTGATCTCACCTGGGCTCAGAAAGAACGACCCGCCCTACTCTGCTCTGATTGGCTAAAACTATGACTATGGCTCACATTATTGGTTGAAAGCCACGCCAGTTTACCGTAATCCTGAGTTATGATCCACCGCATTATTATTATTACAATTTTTTTATAGTTGATAAAAATCAGTCGCGTGAATAGAGAACTTCGATCCCCCGCAAAAATTCAAGGACTTTTGAGGACAAGTGTAATTTTTGGCTGTTTTCACAAACTTTCCAGGGCATTGAAATCATTTTTTTAAATTCACAAACTTTCAAGGATTTCAAGGACCTGTGGGAACCCTAGTAAATGTGTCCCTTTGCTCTTGGACAGAGGAGGACAGTTTTTCGTATAGATCACACCGTTTTACTGACATTTACAAATCAACTTGACTACTGAGGAGGAAGTGACCGTATTTGGGCAGATGGGTGGAGCTTAAGAGAGAACTTTTCAACAACTGAAAGTTCAGAGTGTCCCAGCAGGGACTGGTTTTCAGTTTTATAGATCCTGAGTTCAAATGTGGTGTGGTAGCAGCTGAGAGTCAGAACAGCAGGCGACATCAACCGATTCAAAATCTGCTGGGCCTCTAACTCATTTCACCAGAACCAGAACTGAACTGAAGAATGTAAAGAATGCTTGCTGTGGTCCAGAGTGTGGAAATGCAAGATGGTTCTGAGTGAGAGAYGTGTCTCTGACCGGACCCTCAGACGGGTCGGTTCTGGACGCGAGCCGTACTGTTAATCACAGAAAGCGCCATGCTCTGCAGACACACCCAGCTTTGAAGCGCTGCCACTCGATTTGGAGCGCACATGCTCATTCACTCCACGGGTCGGCCRTGCAGATCGAGCCAGAACCTGCGGCTGCACGCTCCGGCTCCTCCCTGCCAGGCTCTGAAACAAACAGTGCGTATTCTGAAGCCAACAGAAATTCATTTCATTCTGTAAACAGAGCAGCCGGAGCAAAACCATGCCAGCAATGTGAGGAATGAAGTTTTGCCCACCGGTACCGCTCACCTGCAGCCTGTAATCACTGATACACCAGAGCGTCGGGCTGAACAGAAACACACAATAACTGCACTTTAATAGCACACACGGGAAAATTTTTTTAAACTGACACGCAGGAGCAAGCAAGGATCTGTATCTGTGCTTCATTTGCTGCTTTTCCTGAACACGAAATCTTGTGATCTGAAAGGGATACGTCGGAGTAAACTAATAAACATAAATAAAACGCACAAAGTTGAATTAAACTCTAATTTCTGAAGGCTTCAGAATAGAAATCCAGTTCTTTTGTTGTTACATTTTTTAAATTAAATATGACCTGGATGAATGAGAATCTTCATCAACATGTTTAACAGAACCTTACTCTGTGAGGAGGTTGCACTTGAGTGAAGACCTGGTGTTACAGAACATGTAGGCCAAGCTTCCGTTTGAACCTGCCCTGCAGCATTCCTCTTTCAGATTTTCTAACTGACTCAACGGTTTGTTCCTAAACACTCCGAACACTATCAGAAGTTCAGATTGGTAAGACCCGTCAGACCCGTGAACCCTTCCAGTCCTGAAACCCTGATCCYGTCAGAGCACAAAGAGCTACAGCTCAGTGAAGTTCACCTGAATGAATTGTCCCACAGCCAGCAGCGGTCAATGAATGCATCACGTACATTCAGGACCAGACTTGTCCTGCTACTGCACACCTGTTCCACTTCCAGTCCACTTCAAATGGATCAAATGCAGGAAACCATTGTATCGGGATGGCAACCAGTAAAGAGAATCCAAGAACAAGAGTTGATGTGATGGATGAGTTCAAGGATCAATATGTTGTCTTTACCTTGAACCTTACAACATATAGAAAACTACAACTGTAACAAACTAGAGCTGGGAGGTATGACCCAAATTTTATATCACGGTATTTTCAACAATTACACCGGTTTCACGGTATTCGACGGTATTTTTTTCCCTCACAGCTCAGCTGATAATAAAATGTACAAACTTTGCTTATTGCCTTTTTTCTTTTACTGTACCTCTGTATCACTAGCTGCGTTTCCATTGACCATGAAAATGCACAAATTAGAATTTCGCAAAT